TAGGGGAAAAAGGTAAAGCCTCAGCGGGGGAATTTTGTTTTGGTAAACTCAAAATGTTAATTTTTAAATCCCCAAGGTATATATATATAATCATCAATGCGCATTAGTCCATGCAACTAAGAAGTCACACTAAGGTTTCTTTCCGCTGGATCTTGTGCTTTTTGCCACGACATAAATAATCCATGTAAATGTACACATCCTCATAGGGAAAAAGAATGAAGGTTTTCAATAATATATGCATATTATTTAGAACGCACCTTTAGTTTAGTTTCAGACAATCTTGGAAAAATTTCACGGGGGGGAATAATGATGTCCTGACTTTTTTGTCTATTGACTTATAATATTCATTGCAACAGGATTCAAATAAAGTGTCTAGCAACTAATCATCTAAAATGAATGATTAAACATTAAATGTGTTCTCCAACAGAAATAACCATTAACTGATCATAGCTTGACAAATACTTGACAAAGTTAGACCTGTTCTAAAATCCCAAGACTGTCTAATTTCAGACTAGATACAAGATGTATTATTTGGGAAAATGTTCCAAAATTGGCGAATGCTTGCTTGCGAGACTACTGTGACATCACTGCTATAGAATTTTAAAATAAAATAGTCTTTCTTGGTTTCTCTACGAGCTCATAGGAATACATTTGCTACATGAACTAAGTAATAATCAATCCAAAAACTGTAAACTCTGCCTGGAGAAAAAATAGCTATAATTACCTTCCCAGACCAAAATAAATGATCAGATCTCAAATCAAAATGCAGACAGGAAAACAAATTTTTTATTATGTTACTTATTAATCAAAAATGGTAAATGAACAAGAATAAACAAAAATAAATGAATAAAATAAAAAAAACAAAGAAAAAAAACAAAAAAAAAAACAAAAAAAAATAAAAAAAATAAAAAAAAAAATTTAGAATATAAATTATTCATAAATATACTAAATAAATATTTATTTCAGATTTTTAACAAACTGTGTATTTATAGATGAACACAAGAAAATGTAGCAATAACAAGAAAATAATCAATAATAAATAAAAAAAGTTAACTAACATTATAAATCACCAAAAATTCACAATTATTCCTACTCAACAGCTTCTAGAATAATTCAAAACAACTGTTACTGTCCACCAAAAAAAACATTAGAATAATACAATGCATCACTGACCTGTATATATAAAGAGTCAAAAAACACAACACACATGGTCTGACAATAACGTTTAGCATGAAACAGACTGTTGCCTCTAGGTTTTGACTTTGTCTACTTTTATATTTATATATGCTCTATCCCTGATATTTAGTGCTTTAACCAATTATATATATGTGTGTGTGTGTGTGTGTGTGTGTGTGTGTGTAAATAATTAATACAGAGAAACCCGGATATAAGAGAGATTTTCTCTGGTCCCAAATTAGAGCCTGTGTTAATATATATATAAAAAGATTACTTTTAAATATTTCTGTTTTTTGTTTTCTCCAACTTTGAATTTTCTTGGTATATGTCCGTTTTTCAGGGGGTTCTCGTTTTACCAAGAGATTTTGAAGTCAGGGAAAACAATAACAAAAAAACAAAAAACAAAACTGATATTTAAAAGTTAAGTAATGATTTCATATAATATTATCAATGCTCTATTTTTAATATTATTTTAATATTGAGCACTATCTATCTATATATATATATGTGAAAATATATAGAAAATAGGAAGGAACTGATTAGGTAAATAATCCAAAGTCCCTTAGTATTTTAGTTATTATTTTTAAAAAAATAGTGCTCGCTCCAAAAGTAGAGCATAAATATAATTATTTATTTAAAAATATGATTCCAACTCGTGACATAAGAGGTCTCACGTTTCAAAACAAGAGCCGAAAACTTCAATATAATTATTTGAATTAAATTGAGTTAAAGTAAGCTCTGTTCCATCTTCAAGCGAAATTTTTTTGGAATAACATATATCTGAAATTTACGCGTTTTAATAATTGAAATCAAAATTTCCATGGTAACAGCTAGGGCGAATTGTTTAAATTGGGTAGGCGTGTGTTGGGTGTTAATAATAAGTATCAGTATAGAGTAAGTATCTCCACTATTTCGGCATAAATTTTCTATATTTAAGTTTAAAATGAATTTTTTACAAAGAAAAAACATTCTTGAAGATTTTATTTTAGCTTTAAAAAAAGTTTAATCATTAAATTTATGATTTCCATTAATTAAAAAATTCTGGTGTATTTCAGATAGAAACTATATACATTTGATAGTCAAATTTAAATTCAAACTTTTTAATTCTTAAAATCGGCCATTTTCTTAATTTTAAGAAATTTGTAAACAAACACAAATTTATCGATTTTGAAAATATTTAAGAAAATTTCTGACATGTTATTTTAGTAAAATTAAAAAATTTAAAGTTAAAGTAATCTGATTTGAAAGAAATCTTTCTTACTTATAGCATAAAAAATAATATACAACCAATTATTAACGAGCGGTCCTGTTCATCTGATCGAACTATTGATGGATTGTTGAATGACGAACCGATGACAGCTACTACGGATGACCATAAATGACATAATTTTTAAGTCTGAGTTTAAAAAATTATTCTATTTGAGTATGACACACACTAATGGAAATACAATGCATAAAATAAAATTTAGTGAAATAGTAAATGAAAAAAAGAAAATATAATTTAAAATTTAAAGTTTACACTTTTAAAGCTGAACGGAAAATACAACCTGTAAGAAACAAAATGTTTTGAAAAGGCCACGTAAAGGGACAAAACCCTTAGATCACGTGACCTTGTTATAATAATGGCAATTTCTGTATATCATACATGGAAATAAGGAATGTATTAAGTAAAAAAAAATACAACATAAAAAATCATTTTTAAAAAAAGTAGCGCAACTAAATTTATTAAACTTAGCAATTTTGGACTCGTAAATTTTTTTTTTTTTACTTAATTACTACATAATATTGAGGAACCCTCCTAATACAGAGCTTTACACGATTTTAAACTATTATAAATTATTATAATTAAAATTTCTTAAAAAACGAAAAATTCTTGTAAAATTAATTATTCATCAGAAAAAAATTATTTCTTCAGACAATAATGTCCTTAATATTACTTATTTACAAAAGCAATTAAAAGCTTTTCTAATTAAGTTATATCATAGTTTTATTGGATTCATTATTTTTCAATTCAGAGCAGATTTTCAGTTAAATAGCTCAAATTTTCTAAAAAAAAAAAAAAAGTAGGTTATTTACCATCTTCGAAGACTCCTACTTTTAACAAAAAAAAAAAATTCAGGAACCAAAAAGGTTTTGGCCGAAATTTCATTAAATTAAGTAAATGTGGGGTAACATATTTTTAAAAAAAATATTTTTTTTAAAAATTTTCTAAAAAAAAAAAAAAAAAAAAAAAAAAAAAAAAAATTTCATTCATTTGTGAATAAGTCCTGAAAATTTCATTAAAATCGGACAATTACTTGATTTTTACAAGAATTTCCAAATCAATATGTTTTCAACAGAAAAAAAATCGCAAAAAAAAAAAAAAAAAAAAAAAAATGTTATTTTCTGTGACACCGCGATGACGTAAACAAAAGAAGAATTTAACCAAAATTTCGAACGTGTTAGAAAGGATTAAAAAAATTTCAAAAAATAAAAAATACTTTGGTCTTTCATCTTAATAATAACATAAGCATTTTGACGATAAAACTTTATTTTAGTTAAGTTTGTGGCATTTTCATTACGCTATATGCTGTTTTCCTGCGGAAACAGTGAACATGCTTAGTATAGAGTTACTTTCATAGATGTCAAGTCAGGGAAAGGTGGGGGCGTCTAAATTTGAAACGGAAGATGTATTAACCCTAGTCTGGTATGCTTGTCTATGGAGATTTATTTATTTTTTTATTTTATTTTTTTATGAAAGGGATTTGTGCATATAAAAAAACTGCCGTAACATTTGTTTTTTGACGACTTGACGAGGGTTATCTTTTTTGTAGGGTATTTAAACTATTTATTTGGGCTATGGATTATAAAAGTTTTGCTTGAAGATGGAACAGAGCTCACTTTAACTCAATTCAATTCAAATAATTATATTGCAGTTTTCGGCTCTTGTTTTGAAACATGAGACTTCTTATGTCGCGAGTTGGAATCATATTTTTAAATAAATAATTATATATATATAAGTGCGCAAGTATGCAGAAAATAGAAAAGAACACGTTAGGTGTATAATGCGGAGTTCCTTAGTATTTTTGTTTTTATTTTTAAGAAGACAGAGCTCCATACAGAAGTAGAGCTTATATTATAATATTTTTTGTTTAAAAATATGATTCCTTCACTACATAAGAGTTCTCATGTTTCAAAAACGAGAGCTGAACCATCCAAATAATTATTAAAATTAAGTTGAATTGAGGTGTTTAGTTCCGTTTCTTCTTCAAGCGAAATTTTAGGAACTCTAAAATTTCGCTTGAAGATGAAATGGGACTGAACAATGGAAGAATGGTTCTACAGAAGGATGCTAAGGATATCATGCACCAAACATATGAGCAACGATGACGTTTTGTAAAGGAAACAAATAAGGAGGAAACTTATACTTAACATTAGGAAGAGGCAGCTGAAATTTCTGGGACACGTAATGAGAAAGGATGTCTTGGAGAATCTGATACTCACAGGGTGAATAGAGGGAAAGAAAAACAAGTGAAAGCACCTAGTGGGCTTAAGCAAGTGGACGACAGAACAGGGTCTGGGAGAAGTAGCAAAGGGACAAAACTTATTAAGAGCTACAAGGGATAGGGGAAAAATGGAGAGCCATGATCACCTATGTCCTGAAGGAACATGGCACATAAAAGAAGACACACATCTTACTAATTAACCCATAGCTGGAGGGAGAAGAGGTGGATTCATACCTTTCCCAAGAGCATTTGGACGTAAGTGAATATAACAAACTTAACTGGAATTGGAACTTGGCACTCCAATTAACAATTATCCATTAAACAATCCACACATCCAAGCTTACAACACCTAGTATTCTCAAGTGGTCACCCATATGGGTTCTGAGTAGGCTCAACATTGCTTAACTTTGGTGATCATACAGGAACTGGTATTTTAATGTGATGTGGCTGTAAGCAGCTTGGTTGGGGATGTCTAACTACACACACCTTTGACCTTATGCCTTTGGATTACCATTTATTTTGGTCACTACAAAAGTCTCAGTCAGAAGAACATGAATTCACTGGAAGCCTGTAAAACCCACTTAGCCAGGAAGATGTCAATTTCTGGGAAGATTGTATCATGAAACGGGATCAGAGATGGCAAAAGGTAGTGGAACAAAATGGCAGATAACTGGTTGAATAAATTTACATACAAATATCTAAATATTGTCTTTGAAATGGCACACATGTCACTGAATAAATTTGCTCAAAAAATACTAAATTAGCTCCTCGCCAATACAAAGAAGTCGATGTTAACAATAAGAAACATTTAGAAGCACATAAGAAGGCTTCTAGAATTTAACCCTCACCAAACATTAAAAGGCAAGATTAAATGTTTTATTTTTACAGATTATGAAACCTTTGTCAGTTATTTAAAGCAAAACATTTTCTGGATTGTAGGAGATTGCTTACAATACCCACTGATCCCCATCTAAGAAGGTGGAGGAAGGAAGGAGACGAGAGAAAGGCGGAGGGAGGAAGGAGACAAGGGAAAGGCGGAGGGAGGAAGGAAAGACATTTCTGTTGGGGAGAGACCTGTAAATCTCCCCAATAAGACCAAATATAAGTTGCATATAACAATAGCATTATACGATAATATGAAGGACAATCTGAAATGTGTCTTTTGGTCACCCCCACCACACACACTGTTACTTAGGTCTTCTTAAAAATGTTTAGGACTAATGTTTAAGAATTGTTGAAATGATATTTCAACATCTCTTAAATGTTGCCAACTGCTAACGGCATGAAATATTTCTGCGACATGCATATTAACAAAATGAGATTAAACAGAGGAAAAGTAATCAACATTGCTTTTAGCAGCAATGTTTTATTTGTGCAAATAAAAATGAAATAAAATAAATTAAAATAATGTTATATTCCCCCTCCCCCTTTTCTCCATCCAGACGTAGGTACAATAATATATTTTGCTAAAGGTGATCATCTTTGAATTAAAAAATTTAAATTTCCACATATTTTTCGATTAACAAGCCCAAGAGAAAATAGTCTCAAAACGTGTGGAATAATAAATGGAATATTTCAACTGAGAAGATTTAAAATTTTAAATTAAAAAAAAATAAGAGAATGTACTACCTGATCTAATGATTTTTAATGTGTGACTAGATAGACATAAAATTTAAAAACGTTTGTAAAGAAAAAAAAAGGTAAAAAAAGAAAAAAAAGGTAAAAAAAGAAAAAAAAAAGGTAAAAAAAGAAAAAAAAGGTAAAAAAAGAAAAAAAAGGTAAAAAAAGAAAAAAAAGGTAAAAAAAGAAAAAAAAGGTAAAAAAAAGGTAAAAAAAGAAAAAAAGAAGAAAAAGAAAAAAGTAGAAAAAAAAAGAAAAAGAAAAAAGAAAAAGGAATGTTAAGGAATTTGGTCAGGTAAATGGTGCATAAGGAAAGAAGGCTTGGGAAATTTGATACTCACAGAACAGACTGAAGGCAAGAGGGACAGTGGAAACACATTGCATAACATACCTAGCAAGCTTGAATAAATGGGCCGCAGAATAGGGTTTAGGAGAGATAACAAAAAGACAAAATTTATTAAGAGCTACAAAGGAGAGGAAATTGTGGAGAGCCATGATCACCAATGTCTTGGAGGGACACAGTACAGAGAAAAAGAAGAATGTTTACGAGAATAGCATAAATTACCGATACTTATTAGTGATTTGAAAACTCAGTGAGTAGAAAATAAGGTTAATAATAATATTAAGAACTAAAACTTTCAAAAGAAGCAAGAAGACTTCTGGAATACTAGAGAGACTTGTTGTCACTTGATCTCACAGCAAAAGTTACCAGTTGCTGCTGGTTTTGAAAACTCAAAACCGAGTACAAAATAAAGGAATAAGAAGAATTGAAACTGTCCCCACAACAGCGAGAATACTAAGTGCTGGAGTATTGAGGAGACTTGTTGTCACTTCATCTCCAGCGCGAGCCACAAGCTATAACAGTCATGAAAAACATACTACATGCAAACATAAATAGAAGTTTTTTTTTTTTTGCTGAAGCAGGATGAGGATTAATCTTGCACAAAACGAGGCAGGTCCTGCCTGACAAAGGAATTGTCATAAGGCCAGATACTCTCCCTGAGGCTCATCTCAGTCCCTCATAATAGTTCAAACATGCTGAGGGTTTTTAGCAAGATACCATCTCTATGAAGGTTGCCATTCAAGGCTTGAAATCTCAGCCTAGCTTATATATATATATATATATATATATATATATATATTATGCAGTGTTACATTAGAACATGCACATACCCACTACAAAAAACTGTACATCTTGCTACGTTAAAAAAGTTTTCAATGTTTTTGTGGTATGTGTGTGTTCTAATGTAACACTACATAATAAATAAATATTTACGGGTCTACTTTTGTATTGAGCCCTGTTTCAAATTAATGTTTTGAATGCTGAAATCTTAATCTTCATTCTTTTTTATCATATATATATATATATATATATATATATATATATATATATATATATACTAGCAGTAGAGCCCGGCGTTGCTCGGGGATGTAACAGTAAGAGATTGATCAAGTATCGACCATCATAAAGACTGAAAAATAAAATTGACAAAGATTATTGTTTAAGGTTGACGGACACACATGTCTTAATTAGTTTTATTTTTTTGTTTTTTTTTTTTTTTTTTTTTTTTACAAATTGGTCAAACCCAAACTCAAACAAAAACATTGTTTTCAATCATTAATGAGTCAACCGATTGAATAGAATTTTATTATAAACAATTGTCTTGTAAATGGAATTTTTAAAGCATTCTGAAGGTAAAAATAAAGAATAAAGTGTGCAAGAAAAAATGAAACACTACCTGCCAAAAAAAAGTGAAGTTTTGTTGAAATCGGTTGAAAAATGTAGGAAATCTGATCCTATATATAAACGAACAGACACACACAAAACTAACCTGGGTTTTATAATAAGTATAACTCGATAACTCAATATTAATAAGTATAACTCGATATGAGTTGTCCCCCTTTCATTCTCGCGATGCCTCTTAATTGTGTTTTCAAATTGATTTCATGCAAAAACAATTGTGTTTTTCCAATTTTTGGTGCTGTCAGAACCACCGCAAGGTAATTTTACGTAGTCCTTCGAAGTTTTGTTGAAATCAGTTGAAAAATGTTGGAAATACGATCCAATATATAAACGTACAGACACACACACAACCTGGGTTTTATAATAAGTATGATATATATATATATATATATATATATATATATATATATATATATATATATATATATATCATATATATATATATATATATATAAAATGCAGTGTTACATTATAGCAAGAACATGCAAGTGGCTATGTGCATGTTCTAATGTAACACTGCGTAATAAATAAATATTTATGTCTCTAATTTTGTATTGAGCCCTGTTTCAAATTAATGTTTTGAATGCTGAAATCTTACTCTTCGTTCATTAACATTTGGATATATATGTGTTTGTGTATATTGATTTTCCAAGTGTAGCTTAGATGTAACACAAGGCAGAAAGTAGGGGGCACCCAGTAAGGATCGAACTCACTATTCAATCATAAATGTTCTAGTGAGACAAGCTTGCTAACCATTACACTGCCTCGAGCTGTGTGTGTGTGTGTAAGAATTTCAGAGAGTATAAGAGGACAATATAACAAATGGAAAACTTATCTTAGCCAATGCGTTTCATCCTCCGAGGAATATGCTGGTAGTGTAACAAATACCATTGCTCCAAAATGGTTACAAAGATAGGAATGATCAGTTCCATGTAAGGCAGATTACAATAATATTTGGGGAATAATATAAAACTCACATGTGAAAACTTAATAACAGTAAGGACTTCATTTTTGACATCATGGACAAAGAAGTCTACTCTCACGCACACATACACACATATAAATATATATATATATGTGTGTGTGTAAAAGTTTCAGATAGACTATGTTTGTAAAAGGACAATATGACGAAAGGAAAACTTATCTAAGCCAATGCGTTTCAACTTCCGAGGAACTTTATCAAGGCAAATGAAAGAACTTTATTTTGTGACAAGTATTTATATACAAGAGCAAAAATGTTATTGGTTTTGTAAAATTTTTGTTATAGGGGTGCTTGTGAATATTCATCTGTTAGCGGAGAAGTCAAGCAAGTTCATGGACATAAAGTGATACAGTTCAATGACAAATAAACAAAAGTGAGCCAGTGGTATTTTTTTTATATATAAATACTTGTCACAAAATAAAATCTTTACATTTGCCCTGATAAAGTCCCTTAACGGACGAAACATATTGGCTAAGTGAAGTCTTCTTTTTCATATATATATATATATATATATATATATATATATATATCTTATTATAAAAACGCAGATCGTGTGTGTGTGTCTGTATGTTTATATATTGGATCGGATTTCCTACATTTTCAACTGATTTCAACAAAACTTCACAGGACTGTGTAAAATTACCTTTATATGGTTCTGACAGTGCTAAAAATTGAAAAACATTTGTTTTTTACAAATCAATTTGAAAAAACACGATTAAGAGGCATCATAGCGAGAATGAAAAAGGGGACAACTCATATCGAGTTATACTTATTATAAAACTCAGGTTGGTTGTGTGTGTGTGTGTTGTGTTCGTTTATATATGGAATCGGGATTTCTACATTTTCAACCGATTTCAAGAAAACTTTTCCTTTTTTTTTGGCAGGTAGTGTTTCTTATTGTCTTGCACACTTTTTTTTTTTTTTTTACATTCAGAATGCTTTAAAAATTCCATTTATAAGACAATTTTATTTTTCAGTCTTTATGATGGTCGATACTTGATCTATCTATTACTGTTATATCCCCGGGCAATGCCGGGCTCTACTGCTAGTATATATATATATATATATATATATATATATATATGTGTGTGTGTTTATG